TATATATATATATATATATATATATATATATATATATATATATATATATATATATATATATTTATGCATATATTCTAGTTATAAATAATATTATATATAAAAACTAGCAATTAACTTTGTACACACATTTTTTTAAAGAGAATTAAGGTAGTATGTATTAATTAGTTTTTAAGACAAGCAATGCAGTACTTTCAATAAGTGCAAACTGCACTATTGTAATTGTTAATGTACTGAGGAATAATAAATTATATTTTCCTACAATATGCTGTACTTTTTCATTTATTCTATATATTAATACCTATTAATTTTCTGTTAATCATATTAAAATTTATCCTGAAATAGTCCTCAAATAATATATTTTATATATCCTAAATTAATCCGTAAAATAGTTTATAAAATGCCTCATTATAACATTCTGGACGATTTTAGGATGCTTTGTAAATATCATAGGATATATAGGCGTCCTATGCGTCCCTGTGGACACCCTCAGGATTATGAAACGGAATATCCTGAAGATATTTGCTATATATAGGTATAATTGAGGCGCTCATTTGCTATTAATGATTTGCTCAGGACATCCTCCGCAAGAACAAGGATTACAACAGGATTTCCTCAGGATATCCCACATACTCAGCAGGATGTCCTACAGACGTCCAAAAGACATCCCCGTGCTGTTTGGAATATATTTGATTAACACATTTTGATTTTTATATTACACATATTTTTGTTTTTTATATTTTGATAAACACTTTGTTTTTTATATTTTGAAAAACACATGATACATAAAATACATAATATATGAATACATAAACATATAATAAAAAGCTCTTTTCTTTTAAGTGTATTAATTATTTACAGATTATTGGGAAAAAGAGGTTGACTACTCTCACAGCACATTAATATTGTCGTGAGGTTACAGCAATCTTAAATTGTAAGATGGTAACATTATACGGGGGTTAATAACCTTGTCACTAGCCTTCTAAAAACATGAAAATGTTCGTCCATGCTCATTCCATTAACATTACAGAAACCTTATACGAAACATTATATTAAAGTTACTATAATATGCCTAGAATCTTTCAATATTTTTAATAAGAAATTCTTGATAAAGTAATATTATTTATATTTAGCTTAGTCAATTTATATTGATTTTAAATGAAATTTAGCTCTTTTATTTGATTTCTCACTATTTTCACACCTGAAAATTTACTCAATA